TCGGTAGGTTTGGCCATTCAGATATAAAAACATCCAAATCCAAATACTCGATTTAGGTTTTTCTTTTTTCTCTTACATATCTATATTTATATAGACTATAAATTTCCTTTTACCCCCTATACATAAATGGCGGGATGGTGTACTCAAATCTATCTTGTTATTGTAGTATATCGTTTTGGTTACAATATCGTTTTGGTTTATTATTTCTAAACAAGTTTTAATGTACTAAACGTGACTTTTCGGTCAATAATTAAGATCTTGTGGACCAAAACATATACAATTTTTCAGGGTTTTTCTCGGCTAACGTATGTTATGACCTTCAATATAAGAAAATCAATCACAACTATTCAGATTGGAAACTATAAATTTATTATTCCTATTTTAATTTTGCAGAGACAAACTAACAACTATCCTGCTAATCAAAATAGTTTATTTATCGTAGAAAACTTATAGGAATAAACTTACCTTCAATATAAGTTTTTATTGTTTCAAAAAAATATTTATAGATAGACATTGGTCTGAAAATGTGATATAACACATTGTCACATTCATTTTTTTTCGTTATTTTGTCACAATATATATCACATTCATTTTATTTTTTTTGTCACAATATATAACACATTCATTTAAAAAATTCATCTCTCGTGTTTCTAATATGTTTTTTTTGGTACGTAGAGTGTTATTTTATGACCACAACCATTAAGCAAAGTTATAATGATTGCGTAGGATGATTTATACAAAAATTCAATTAAAAAGAAGAAAACCAAATCTTCAATTGAACATCTCCGATGAAGATTGGGTGATTTTGAATTCAAGTCAAATTTAGCTTTATTCATGTAAGTGGTTTGTCTTTAAAAGCAGACATTCTTCGTAAGTAGAAAAATAAGTAAAGATAAAGTCACTTTAATTTTAGGTATCATTCCAGTCTCCAGAGCCGAATTCAAATATAATATCGACTTTATCCTTCGATAAAACAACATTTGCAAAATGTTTATAGAAACACACAAATGCATGACTAACTTTATATTGGCATAAATGGAAGATGGTTGTAAAAAGGACTAGTAAGTAAATTTGTACGCTTTAAAAAATAATTAGAGTGGGCGGTTTGAAGTTGGAACATCCAATTAACGTGAACTAATAAAACAAAAAAAAAACGCATAGAAAATGTCAAATCACATCATATAG